CTCATTTTTGTGTCTCCTAAGTTCTCTCCCTACTTCCTACAATCTCTTACCCCAACTCTCCTGAGATCCCTCTTCTATTGCTTTGAGTAAACCCCTCTACTGTGTCCCCCTTTATTAAAATCCCTTCTCTTCTCACTGGTGTCACTCCCACCAGTTCTGGGATCCTCAGAGTCTTTCCTGCCTTTTATTGGGAGTCTCTCTCCAAATTACAAACGGTTACCACCCCTTCCCTAAGTATCCCTGCCCAACCCTTTGGTCTCTCTTCCTCTTTTCTCCTTCTCCCTTCAGACCCACTCTCTCCTTCAGGCTTTTGCGAACTTTAACCCTACCCAAAGACAATTTCTCAGCTCTCATCTCCTCATCCATGATCTCTGTCTTCTTCTTCCTTGCCCATTACTCTTCTTTCACCTGCACTCCTATAATCTTTCTGTCTTCACTCCTTGCAGGTCCTCATGTCCCTTGAGCACTGGATCCTTCTGCCCCAGCTCCGCCTCTTTGGCCATTCCTTACCTCACACTCTTCCCGTAGTTCTGCCCTGGTGGGACTCTGGTCTGGTTCTCTCCAGAGTACGGCTCCAGCAGTGGCAAAGGCTGAGTGAAGATTGCTACTCTGCAGGGGACACAGCCTCACAGCAGCCACTGCTGTCAGGATGGCAGAAGTGCAGGGAGTTTCTCTCAAAACCTTGTTTAGTGCTTGGAGCTCGGGCCAAAATAGCTGTAAATAGCAATTGAGAAGGCAGCACTCTTGAGGGCTTCCCCTGCTTTAAGCCACCTTTATACCTTTCTTAGTCCTGGGTTGTCTGAGGAGCACTTTGGCTCCACTCAAGATAAGCAGTCACAGGGATGTTCCATCTTGCACCAGCTAACAAGTCTGATAGGAGCCACAGGGTCATTAGAGGATCAATGGAGTGCATCACCCAAATTAGCCCCTTCCCATCATATCCATTGCCTACATCAACACACACCCAATGTCCTTTGTTGAGGAAATTCTGATCAGCCCAATAAAGGCTGGTCTCAAACTCTTCATTGGCACTACACGTCTATAGAATAGATAGGAAATCTCATTCCATTTTCAATCTTTTTCCTCATTTTTTGTCTACTGACTAATTGCTTCTAAACTTGACCAGTTTAAGTATCAACTCACCATAAGGCTATTTCTGTGATGTACTTGCCTGTTTCAATCTCTCCCTTGCCTGTATAATTTTCTTCCTTAGCCACTTACAGCGAGCTGTGACAATGGCTGCATGCCCCCGGACTCGGTCTTCCTTCTGCCAACAATGAATGTGAAAGCACGTTATTAGTCGACTCACATATAGTATCATCCTGGAAGTCAGTGGGAGTGGAGAGTCCTTGCCCCCCCTTCCAGGTTTGGGTCCAAGGTCTGACTATTTTACCGTAACTAGTGGAACAAACGGTGATAGCAAACAGAGGGCACATTGGTGTGCACTGTACAGAGTGTGAGCAAGATTCCGCCCTCTCTTCCTCCAAAACATTTCATACAATTGGTTGAGGAGATTTTTTTCATCATAAACCTCAAGGGGAAGGCTAACAATTATGTTCTGCGTCCATGGGATATGATGCCTGTAGTTACATGTGATGCCCAATTTTTTTCTTTTCAAAAGAACAGTAACAGCTGTTTGCTGCTGCTCTTAATATTTGGACAAATTTAATGGCATCCTGTGACTCCTCTGCAATGACTTTTATAGGAATGCAGGTTGGGGTCTTTTTGAGTGTTTATTGCTTTCTATTTGTTAAGCTCAAATTTCTCATGCTTGTTCTCAGCCAGAAAGTGAGAGGGGGAGGGGTTTAATGTTTGGTCTTTATTTTAATTATTGGAGAAGGAACGATGTTGCTTTTCCCATAATTTAAAACATTTTCCATATATTTTATTTCAACAATTTTAAAATGGCTATTAAGAAACTTGAGATACGATACTGCAAACCACTGACCATTATCTTTCAGGAGTTATTCACTGGTTTGGAAGACGAAGTAACACACACATTGCACAATACAGCTACAGTTATTTGGGGGCCTGACACAGGGCAGCAGTGGGGGTTCCCCACCCCCCACAGCAGCAGAAGCCAGCGTAACCTGGCAGCCTGTTTCACTCTGTCCCACTGTCCTCTCCCAGTCAGCTACACTCCACAGATATGTATTCCATGTAGATATGCACATGCCCAGTTCACTGAAGCTGAAGAATTTTGCCTAGCAGTACTGGGAGGGTAGGGACATTCATGTCCAGTCTTTTATAGGCAGAAATCAGCAAAAGAGAGGAAAACAAGTGCAATGCTGGATGGTATCCCATTGATGTGGAAACAGTTGTGCTGAGGACATTGGTAACAGTCTCAATGGGCATTCCACAGACAGTACCAAATTCAACAGTACAGTGTCAAACATAGGATACCTTGGTACTGGAGAACAGATAGGTGGTCCCACTCCATCTCACGTACTGGAAGGATCCTGGTGATAGTCTGCACTCCTCCTGGAAGAGGAAGAGGATTCTCCCCAAGCTCTGGAGGGGATGCATTCCATTTTGAAAGATCTTTTTCTCAGAGGACCCAAGGAAGGAAAGTAATCTCTCTTCCTCCTGGAAGAGCCATCAGAGTCTGGTCAAGCAACATTGGCTCATTCCAGTTCTGAAGTTCTCTGAGCCAGCCAGATGTTCTGTAGATGTCACCGGTGCCAATACAGGTTTTAATGCCTGTTCTGTAAGATGTCTTAAACATGCCTTCTCCTAGGCCCAATAGCCACTATGTACAGGGAAGGATTTTGGGAACAGCCACCCCACATGAAGGATAGAGTTTAAAGCCTACGGAGGGTATCCCACCAGGATCACTAATTAATCTACGGTAACTAACAATTCCTAACTTATTTAAACAGTACTTACAAACTAACTATGAACAATCTGCAACAAAATCTCTACAGGCTGAGCTAAGAAAGCACACGAGGAATTTACCACAAGATAAATTCCTGACTCTAGTTGTGAGTGGTGAGAATGAAGGGGGGCATGGCCTTTAAATTATCCAGGGCAGAGGGTACAGTCACAAGGAGCAAGGGCCACCCATACTTCTGCCATACACAAAGTTCATCAGCTTCCGTATACTGGGCATACACACTCTTCAGTAGAATATAACTCTGCAACCACTTGAAGAAGAGACAAGTTTGGAAACTTTAACATTAGCTGCAGCAGCTCCCCACTTCATTTTCGCTTTTATTTATAGGCACTTTGTAGGTTTTGTGCTTCAGTTCAAAGCCATAAGATGTGATGTTATTGGTAAACAATTTGAATAAAAGAGTCAAATTCATCCTATTGAGAAATAATCATGCAAGACATACACAGATGCATCTGTTCTGGCTGAATATGGGCAGACAGCTATACTTCGGCTACGTCTACACTGCAGGCCTCTAAATTGCAACTGGATTTTAAAAGATTTGGATTAATGTATAATCAGTAATAGGTAGTGATGTGCCAAAACAGAGCTAATCATCTTAGCTCTTGTTTTCACAGGTGTCAGGGAGGAATCTTCCACAGTGTCCAGCCTGATGTGAACATAAGAATGGCCATAATGGGTCAGTCCAAAGTTCCTGTCTTCTGACAGTGACCAATGCCAGGTGCCCCAGAAGGAATGAGTAGAAAAAGTAATCAAATGATTTATCCCGTTGCCCATTCCCAAACAGAGGCTAGGGACACCAGCTATGCCCACACTGAATAATAACCATTGACTTATATTCTATGAATTTCTCTCTCTCTTTTTTGATCCCTCTTAAAGTCCTGGCATTCACAACATCCTCTGGCAAGGAATTCCACAGGTTGACTGTGGGCTGCATGAAGAAATATTTCTTTTTGTTTGTTTTAAACCTGCTACCTATTAATTTCATGTGGTGACCACTAGTTCTAGTGTTATGGAAACAAGTAAATAACTTTTCCTTATTTATTTTCTCCACATCAGTCATGATTTTATAGACATTTATCATATTCCCCCTTAGTCTCCTCTTTCCTAAGATGCAAAGTGCCATTTTTTTAAAATCTCTTTTCATATGGCAGCTGTTTTATACCCCTAAACATTTTTGTTGCCCTTTTCTGAACTTTTTCCAATGCCAAGATATCTTTTTTGAGAAGAAGTGACCACATCTGCATGCAGTATTCAAGATGTGGGCATACCATGGATTTATATAGGGGCAATAAGATATTCTGTGTCCCCTTTTTAATTATTCCTATATATCAAATATCCATGCACTTTCTCTAGGATCCCTCAAATCAAGTAAGATTTTCCCTTGGATGCCTATAATTGATGAGTATGAAGATGTATTTTACAAAAGTTCCTTAATTCTCTGTGTCTCATAATCAAGCACCATAAGTGAATAGTGTAGCCAAAATACAGAAGTCTCTCTACATATTTTTGAAAGTGCTACAGAAATAACTGTCTTAGCATTCAGCTGTGGGAACACCTAAAGTGTAAGATGGTTCACTTTCATCTTTATTGCCAGGAACTACAGACTGCTTCTGTTAAACTCAAGTATCATTTTCACTGGAATATATACCTACCTCTCCTAGAACAAACTCCAAGTCGCTGAATTGCCTGTTTTCCCACAATCTTCCATAATCTTCATGTAAAGTACACTTTGGGTAACAAGAAAACTAAAATGAGAAAGATTTAAAAACTGTTATTGTTTATTTCAGTTTAATATGAGGCACACCAACAAGCAGCATCTACACAGGCAACATCTTAATTGCAGCTCCAAAAAGAAACCAGAGAATGCCCTGATCAATCAAAGCAGTTAGGTCTGATTACACTTAAAGTAGACAGAACGGTTTGCAGATTTTAGCAACAAACCTCCAACCAAGTTGAGCACATGAAAACAGTAATCTTCAGAGTATTATAACCCAGCCAAACCATCCCGTCAAATTTCAAGTGCCTGCTCCAAAGTATGGAGATGCTAGAGATCCTAGAAGAAACTGTTGTAAGAAATATTTAATGTTGGAAAAATGTTTGAACTGCTTTTGCTGAAATTTCAAAAAATAAAAGAATTCAGCAGAGCCTGAACAGTTAACACTTAGGAACAATTAACCAACTGAAAGCAGGGCCTTATACTGGAAAACATTTGGTCACCTTAATTATAGGCTCTGACGACTGTTCCATAACCCCCATGAATCAAATTAACAAATTACCTGGAATCTGTACATTTCTCCACTTCTAATGTTATTGTCCACTGTCCCACCAAAGATATACATGGCATCTGAAATGACAGCTGCAGCATGGAAGAGTCTCCCACTTGGCAGCTAGGAAAATCAACACACACACAAAAGCTGGTGACTATTTTAAGAGAGACACTTTCAGACAAGAATTTGGGGAAAAAAGCAAAAATGACAAACAAAAAAAAAATATAATGGAAATGAATTAGCAACCCAGATTACTGTTAGGTTCTAGGATTTCCTTGTTACCTCTATAGCATCCCTTCCTGTCATTTTTAATGACACCGCTGGTAAACTTTTAAAATTATTATTACTTTACATGTGCAGGGCTATATGAATTCTGTAGGTAAGAATGTTCTGCAGAATATTCTTACTGCCTAGGAATTGTGCCTCAGAGCTGAGTTTCATTATAAAAAAATCAAGTACATTTCTAGCCCTTCCAAATTTGAACAATACACAAACTGTTTACTCTGCAAACCGACAGTTTGAAATAAAGGAGTATATGGAACCATATCTGTCAGTTGGGTGTTAACACCGAACCCTGAACGTGACAATTGAAATGAAAACACTAATTCTTTCAAGTTGGTCATTGTAGCAGATCCATTTTGCTAATGTGTCTATCAAGCAATGCTGGGTGCAAAGATGGACACTGTAACAGGAGACAGAGGAACAGTTTCCTTGAAGGAGGGTGTGGATGAGTCACCTAGCTCAGGAAGGGGACCCCCTTGCACACTTCCTCCTCTTGAGTCCATCATTGCAAAAGAGTCCACCACCTCCTGAGGCAATGACAGGACGGAGTCCCAATGAGCCCTGGCCTGGTTGAAAGTCCTTGCCAAACAGGCTTGTAGGGGTCTGAGTCTCAAAATGGCGTGGCGAACCACTTGAGTACAGGCCGCCATATGTCCAAGAAGCTACATACAAGTCCGGGCTGTTGTAAGTGGGGACAGCATAAGGTCTTGCACCATGGTCGCCAGAGTTTGGAACCTGGCCATGGGGAGATACGCCCTTCCTCTCGTGGCATCTATGTAGGCTCCCATAAACTCTATGTCCTGAGAAGGAGTTAACATAGATTTCTCCTCATTTATCAGTAGCCTGAGTTCCCCAAAGAGGGATTTTGTAAATGTTATATGGGCTAACACCTGATCCCTTGATCAACCCCGGATGAGCCATTCGTCCAGGTACGGAAAAACTTGGACCCCGTGCCTTCTGAGGAATGCTGCCACCACTGCCATACATTTTGGAAACACTCTGGGGGCAGTGGAGAGCTTGAACAGCAGAACCATGAACTGAAAATGGTTCCGAGCCACCACAAACTGGAGGAACCTTCGCTGACTTGGCTGTATGGCCACATGAAAATAAAATGTATCTGACGAAGTGGGTCTTTGCTCATGAAAGCTTATGCTCCAACACTTCAGTTAGTCTATAAGGTGCCACAGGACTCCTCGCCGCTTATGAAAATAAGAGTCCTTTAAATCAAGGGCAATGTATCAGTTCCCTATCTCTAGAGCCGGGATGATGGAGGCCAGCATCACCATCCTGAACCTCGTTTTCTTTATCACCTTGTTGAGGTTCCTGAGGTCCAAGATAGGCCGGAGCCCACCTTTCAGCTTGGGGATAATAAAATAATGGGAATAAAAACCCCTGCCCTCCAAGTGAGGCGGAACTCTCTCTACTGCTCCTTTCTCAATGAGTGAGACTATCTCCTGCTGCAGAAGGGCATCTTGAAACGGGGCCCTGAAGAGGGACTGGTAGGGAGGGAGGGTAGGGGACAAACTCATAAAAGGGATGGAGTAATCCATCCTTACCAGGCCTAGCACCCACTTGTTAGAGGTGATGCAGGCCCAGGCCTGGAAAAAATGGGAAAACCTGTCCCCAAAGGGAGGGATGATAGTGGGGGCTGGTACAGGGTCCTCGGGCGCACCTTCAAAACTGCTGCTTAGACTGCTGGGTGGGGGATGGGCCAGTGCCTCTGTTGGAGTTGCCCCGTGGGCGCCCATGACTCATCTGCGAGGAAAAGGGCCCCGCAGCACTATTAGAACCCCCCCACTCAGATTTCAAGGTCAGCGCCTCCACTGGTCCTACCGGGAAGGCTGAAACTGCAACCTTCCCGACTGTCTAGCAGGGAGCGGTCTCCTCTGAAGGGCTGGCGTGTGAATGCCCAGTGATTGGACCATGGCCCTCGTGTCCTTAAGGCTATGAAGCCTCGAGTCAGTATGCTTGGAGAACAGGGATTTCCTGTCAAACGGCAGGTCTTGGATTGTGGACTGGACATCTGGAGGAATCCCCGAAACCTGGAGCCACGCGCTCCTATGCATGACCACGCCAGAGGCCATAGTATGGGCAGCAGAGTCCACAGCATCCAGTGCTATCTGCAGGGCTGTACATGCTATGTTTCTCCCCTCTGTGGCCATAGTCGTAAAGTCCTGCCTGGAATCCAGGGGCAACCTGTCCTGGAACTTGTCCATCGCCTGCCATGTGTTGTAAGCATAGCATCTCAACATCGTTTGCTGATTAGCAATGCGCAGCTGGACACCACCAGTGGCATAGACCTTACGCCCCATAAGGTCAAGGCGCTTTGTCTCCCAGGATTTTGGCGTAGGTTCCGACTGCGCCTGCCTCTCCTTTTGGGTAGCCGCCTGCACCACCAGGGAACCTGGGACTGGGTGAGAATAAAGGTGCTCTCATGCCTAGACTGGGGAACAAAATACCTCTTTTCATAGAATCATAGGACTGGCAGGGACCTCGAGAGGTCATCGAGTCCAGCCCCCCGCCCTCAAGGCAGGACCAAGCTCCGTCTACACCATCCCTGACAGATGTCTATCTAACCTGTTCTTAAATATCTCCAGAGAGGGAGATTCCACCACCTCCCTTGGCAATTTATTCCAATATTTGACCACCCTGACAGTTAGGAATTTTTTCCTAATGTCCAATCTAAACCTCCCCTGCTGCACTTTAAGCCCATTACTCCTTGTCCTGTCCTCAGAAACCAAGAGGAACAAATTTTCTCCTTCCTCCTTGTGACACCCTTTTAGATATTTTCGTTCCCCTTCAGAGTGGGTGTTATAGAGGCAGGGGTCTGCCACAAGGTATACGTGATCTTAGCCACAGTCTTGTTCAAAGGGAGGGCCAGCTTAGTGGGGGCATCCACATTGAGGATGTCCACCATAGGGTCGGTGTCCTCAGTCACTGGCTCAGCTTGCATCCCCAAATTTGCTGCCAACTGACGGAGCAACATCTGGTGCACCCTGGTGCCCATCGATGGCATGGACGATGCCGGGTCTGCCAGGGCTTCATTGGGAGATGATGAAGAGAACTCACGAATAGGTACATGGTCATCCAACACCTACAGAGACTGTGTGACTTGGGGAGGCTCCATGCGGGTGGGAGGTGGGTTCACCGCAGGGGCTGCCTCCGATGTCAGCTCCTGCCTCTGTGGGCTGTCCACCCTAGCTGCCTCGGGGAGGGATGGCGTGCAGATGGGGTGCTTCTTCAGCACGAGACACTAGATCCCCACGATGGTGGCATGGGCCCCGGCCACCGGTGATAGGCCCATGGCGTCCAGAAAGGCCAGGGTGGCTGAGCCTGCGGGGGCCAAGTCTGCTGGAATTCAGATGGCCTGAGTTGGTGCCAAGACCAGGAGTGGTACCGGGAAGAGACCCTAGACGAGCCTATGGAGCGTACCGACTCCAGCTCCGACTCTGAAGAGTAGTCCAAGGCGAACTATGGCAGTGCCGTGGAGGATGGCTTGGAGAGCTGATGTGGCCTGTACCTCTCCATAGACTCTGGCTTCCCTGCATGGGCTTGCCTCGGCAGTCCCATCAATGGCAGTGCTAGGGCACCAGTACCGGGAATCTGGCTCACCGGACT